TTCGTTTCAAGATCCCGACGAGAGCGTCATTTGGATTTTGGATAAGGCACTGAGGACCAAGTTCATTCATTCCATCAGTGACGTGTGCGTCCAAAAGCGTCGCTGTGGTAACTACTCGTAATTGGTGAAACACTAGCTCTGACGTATTTATTTTGATTAATTCTTTTTTTTTTTCTCATCGACGGAAATTAGCGTCCTATTCAGTCTTAGCTGGGACGATGTTGGTTTGAGAATGCGATGACTCCGAGCTTCCATTGTTACTTTCACACACATCATCGAACCGCAACTGATGACATTAAGATAAAAGTACAAGTAATGGCGTCGAGGCGAGGCAAATTTCGGTCGTGACGTAACGAATGGAAACCATACGAGGGGACCACTAAAACACCTCGGCGCTAATAGTCACGAATGTTGCTAAAGTTGATGCCTGGGCGAGTTGGTATGACATACTTAAAAGGTTAAAACAGCGCAAAAAACGACGGACAGAGTAAAGAGGGACACGGAAAGAGCGCTGTCCGTGACCTTCTTTACCCTGTCCGTCGTTTTTTGCGCTGTTTTAACCTTTTAAGCTAATAGTCACTAGCCTAAGAAACAAAGGGCTTATTACGTGCACGTGCTATCAGAAAGTTTTAGTAGATCGTTCCCATGACTCCGATGACGATAACTCATGTATCGTATCGGTGTCGGGTATCGTTATTAGAGAGTTTTAGTAGATCGTTCCGATACCTCCGATACCCCCGATAACGATACTATGCATGCCCAAGGGAGGCGGTGGTGGAGTATCGGGTATCGTTATCGGAGTCATGGGAACGATCTACTAAAACTCTCTATTATAGAGTTTTAGGGAACCGGTTTTGCACTCCCGATACGGTGCAGCGGGCCCTCCAGTACGAAGTGCGCATGATCGAGCCTTCTGCGCTAGCGCGTGCGCAGTTCGTACCGGAGGGCCTATCGTACGATATTGGACGTGCAAAAACGATTTCCTAAAACTCTAGTATCGGAAGTATCGGAGCGTTCTACTGAAACTCTCTAATGCAGAAATCTCGCCGGCATTGAAGCAATATTACGATCTATGGGGCTTGATACGCTCTGCGTTTCCGAAGCTGACTGGAACCGCAGAAGAGGTGGGCAGTCTTTTGAAGCACTCTCAGTAGAAACGCTTCTACTGAGGACATCGCCGAAACGCACTACATGCGTCATACTGACAAGTAAACAACGGCACCTTCACTCCAATTCAAATAACAGTTAGAAACTTAAAAACGGACCCGGCACTTCTTACACAGCCGGAACCAACAAGCTCGCGCATTTAAGGGAATTGTCCCTTTTATACGGCAAAACGCACAATTCTTTGGTTTTGGTGCGAGTTTCAAAACAAATCCCGAATTCCCGTTTCTTCAGAACGACACCATTATTTTGTTGCTGTATGCTACAAGGCATGTGCTAGGAACGAATTCTCTAAGTTTTTTGTCATTCCGTCAAACTCGTCGATTCGGGAACAAAATAAGTATCGGCCAATTAAAGTTAAGTAAGTTCATAATATTTCTTCATTTCTAGAGCAAACATAAACAAAATGTCTTTTTTTAACTCTAAAACAAATAAACGAACACCGGTGTAGACCCTTTGAACACAATCCCACCCTTTTAAAAGGTCTTAAATAGAAATGTGAGATCTCTCTCGCCAGCCTTCCTCAGAAACTCCTGAAAGTTAATCAATTAAAGCTCAATCAATTAGAACTGGACCGGGCTACCAGTCTCGGCCAAGTCGTTCCCCGCAGCGTTCGACGGTGAAGAAAACGGAGCCTGCGCGGCCCATAAAACAGACCTCCCTGTCCCCGGTTATGTGTTTTCGGAGTATACACACGTGACTGCGCACAATGCTCCGAGGGGTACTAACATTACAGATCCCCTTTCCCCGCGCCCCCAACCGACGAACGATCGCGCGAGGCGAGGCCCATTCGCGTTCGGCTTCGCCCCAAGCCCCACCCTCTTGTGGCGAAGCCAGCTTTAGAAAGGGCAACTTGAGGATTCCAAGGAAGCTGTTGTATTTGTAGGCAGTGTATTTTTCTTCGCGTGACTGATTATTCGTATTCGACAGTATGTTTTTCGGGTAGTTTATAAACGCAACTATGTCGGCGGTATGCTCGGTTCTCTTTATTATTTTTTTACGTCTCTGTTTTAAGCTAAGGGGTGTACTTATTCATGGAGAAATGAAACAGTAACAGGTCTTGAGGTCTATATTATGAATGCGCTTACGCGACAGTACACGAGATTTTGCTGATTACGCACCATTTTGTTGTTTAGACCCGCTACATACTATATCCTGCGAATTGCACATTTTTTATCTGCTACACATACTACATCACTCGCTTCATAATTTCTGTGCTTACGTTTGACGATAAGGGCAATATTACTTCAGTGTTAACTTTCAGATAGTAGCAGTTCCCTTTTGTCTCTAGTAATTCTTTCAGCCTATACTTCATTAAGCAAAGCAGTAAAAATTCCAGCTAACAATAAGAGGTTTCAGAACGCTTTGTTGTAATCACTCTGTGGCATTTGGCGTTTAGCACGGAGGAGAAGAAAACTCAAGATAATTTATAGCGTGATTTATATTGTGATTTTAATCATACCGGTTATACTATGGTTATTTTAATCAAACCGGCTTCGCAGAAATTATTCCAATTTTTGTTTTATTTTACTTAACCTTTGTCCATTGTCTCGAAAAAATAACAATAAAAGAGCGGAAGTTGCTTTTACACTATTTGGATTTGCTGAAGTATACAGCAATATAGCTTTTTCACTAACTAAAAACTCAAGGTGCTTTTGCTCTAATACGACGTATAGTTTGCATCAGGAATACTTGACAGTCTATTTCCTTTCCACGCTGTCCTCAGACATTGAGTAGATTAATGAATCAATCAGTAAGACATGTCTAATAAATTGGGTCACAAATATAACCACTCTTTTTTTAAGCAAGATTGTTTAAATTGTGCAATTCTGATTTAAATAATATAATTCTGACTTAAATTGAATCTTTTTTATTTAAATCATAATTTTATCCACCTTGGAGTTTAACGCAAACCCGCTCTTTTAAAAGCGGTAATTCTTCATTGCACGTAATTCCGAAATTGCTCATGAATGGTAAAATTTGGTTAGGCTTAGATTAGCTATTTCCAAATTCATTTGACAGAACGCAATATTTGACTTACCTGATCCCATGTTATTGATGCAAAGCGTGCAGTACGCCATCGCCTACGCTCATTACGCAATTTTATAGATGGGCTAAAACGTCACCTTACTTGCAAAGAACGCGAGGCGATAAACATGCGTCACGCGTACCGACTAACCATTCACACTATTTTACTGCGAAAGCCTAATAAAGCATTCCCATTCCGGGAACTTCAGTTTTCTTCTTCTCCATTGCCCGGGCCATTAAAACGCACTTTCGAGCGACACCAAAGTTTCCATTCCCAGCTTTCTTTCAACTTCCCCTTTTTTTCGATCTCCCGTTTTCCCCTCCACACGCTCCCGGATACAGTCGAACTACGCCTTTCTAATGGGACCGGTAGTGTGCTATCTGGGAGGGTTCATTTCCCCTATTAAGGTATACAAGCGACGGGGGTTCGCCTACACTTGAATTTTTAATGCCTCAAGCGAGCTCTCTTCTCACATCTCTGTTCTTCCCTTCCCGGCTGTCGCCACCTATTTCCCCCTTTTCCTCCCTTTTTTTCCCCATGCATTCCCCCTTAGCTCCTCGGGCCTCTGGGTGTTCCGATTGAGAGCGATTCCCTATCCCTAGGACCCCGGGAACAAACAGTACGGGTCATCGGTGTACAAAGTGCTCGTCGGTTGAATGGACTTGCTGCGCGTGGTGGGGAATGTGCACTTTGAGGGAGCTGGGAAAAGGCGTTCCCAAACGGGGAAATGGTTTTAGGATAAGATTCCTCGTTTCGGGGACGAGATAGGTGGGCTTCTGCAAAATGTATGCTTACGCTCTTGATGTCATTCTGTGAATAAAAATTACCACAGGGCGTCGTTCTATACATAAAAAAACTCGTACCGAAACAAGAAGGTAAAACATCTAGCTTTGACTTTTTGTTGTACGTAGCCACGCCCAAGTGTTATGAATATATTTTGTCTTCTGTGATAATGCATCTGTTACTCACAATCTGCAAGAAAATTTGAATTTCAATTATAAAAGAGTTCTGGTTTAAGTTTAAAATTTATATCTGTATATGTGCTTTATTTAGGTGATCATCCCTGTGCATGTATGTGTGTATATTTCGCAAAACTCAGTCGTCATTTTTTATTCTAATTTTTTTTATGTAACTGTTTTTTCTTCCTAGGTCCGCTATTAACCTTTATTTTGAAGCTACTGAGTGTGTGTCAGTCTGAATTTAAATCGAGAGTATTCCAAGTCGCAAGGAATGTGGGCAATCTATCTTGAGCCGACGTGCGTTCCATCCGGTGTTCTAGTTAGGGACATACGAAAAATAGAATTCGAAAGCCTAAATTGATCTAAACCTTTTTGTATTAAGTCTTGTGCGAAGGCTTTTAGAGGACATTCGATAAGTATCATTCTAGTTTTCGACAAAAAAAGACCAATTAGAGGTCCCGCTCTTTGTTAATGTTATCGAATGACTGGAAGGACTGACGCGAATATCATGTTTGTGACGGCTGAATGCGCCAAGCGCGTAAGCGGAAACAGTGTTGCAAGCTCGGATATTCCCCGACAGAAACTCCTAAACAAAAGCGAACCTTGATGAGGGCGGCCTGGCTGGGCCCTTGGCAAGCAGAAGGCCTCGCCCAAGACGCGCGGGGCCCAGGGTTGGCCCCCGAGTGGTGAACACGAGCCCCGCTCGTAGAGGGGAGACTGCTGCCGCTGCCTGCCCCGCCACGCCGCCCTCCGTCCGCTTGCCGGGCGCTGTCTTACACCGGGCCTCGTCTTGTCTCTCCCCCCAAGGAGGAGCAGCCGAGGCGGAGGGCGGCAGGCAGGCAGCGGCCATGGCGGTCTTGCCCATCATCAACCAGGACACGTCCCAGCTATGGCGGCGCCTCAACGACAAGATCGAGGAGCCCAAGAGCCAGCGCAGGCTCATCCTCTTCATCGTCTGCGTGGCCCTTCTGCTCGACAACATGCTCTACATGGTCATCGTGCCCATCATCCCGCAATACCTGCGGAGCATCGGCTCCTGGTACACCCACACCGAGGGCGGCAACATGTCTGCCTTCGTGGTGAACGCCACCGTCAACGGCGTCGCCACCAACCGGACAGAGTGGCGACGCATGGGCGGACGTATCGTCTACGAGGGTGAAGAGGCGGCCGTTGGTGTGCTGTTCGCCTCCAAAGCCATCGTCCAGCTGTTTATCAACCCGTTCTCGGGAGCCCTGATCGACCGAATCGGATACGACATCCCGATGATGGTTGGTCTTACCATCATGTTTTTGTCAACGGCCATCTTCGCTTGTGGTACAAGCTACGGTGTACTGTTCTTCGCGCGGAGTCTACAAGGGGTCGGGTCGGCGTTCGCCGACACAGCAGGGCTCGCAATGATCGCCGATCGCTTCACGGAAGAGTCCGAGCGGAGCAAAGCACTGGGAATAGCGCTGGCCTTTATCTCCTTCGGTTGCCTGGTGGCCCCACCATTCGGCGGGCTCCTCTACGAGTTTGCCGGGAAGGAAGTGCCCTTCATCATTCTGTCTCTCGTGTCCCTCCTCGACGGCTTCCTCCTTCTGTTTGTGATGCAGCCTGTCAAGCAGCAAATGCGCGCCATGGGCATGGAACGCCCCAAGGGCACGCCCATATGGCGCCTCTTCATCGATCCTTACATCGCCTGCGCCGCCGGAGCGCTGATGATGTCCAACGTGTCGCTCGCCTTTCTGGAACCCACCATCTCTATATGGATGAAAGATAACATGCACGTGGATGACTGGCAGATCGGCCTCATCTGGCTTCCGGCCTTCTTCCCCCACGTTGCTGGAGTCTACCTCACGGTTCGGCTGGCTCGCCAGTACCCGCAGTATCAGTGGGCCATGGCCTGCTTCGGGCTGGCCCTCGAAGGCCTCAGCAGTTTCATTGTTCCTTTTGCACGCTCTTACTGGGTCCTCATTCTTCCACTATCGGGAATCTGCTTTGGCATCGCTCAGGTGGACACGTCACTTCTACCCACGCTCGGATACCTCGTGGACGTGCGCTACGTGTCCGTGTACGGCTCCATCTACGCCATCGCCGACATCTCTTACTCGCTCGCCTATGCCATCGGTCCCATCATAGCCGGTGGCATCGTTGAGAGCATCGGATTTACAGCACTCAACATTTTCATCGCTCTATCCAACCTCCTCTACTGTCCGTTGCTCATGTCACTGCGACGCATCTACGATTACAAGCCGTTCGAGAGCGAAGCCAACATATTAATGCAGGACCCGCCGGCCAAGGAGTACCAGACGTACCAGCTCCAGGACGGCACCGCGATGCCTCTTCCGGTCAATAACCACGTGCAGCAGACGTCCTTCATGGAGGGCACGACGCCCGTGCAGACACAACAAGGCGTGGTCAAACCAAACAACCAAGCGCAGCAACAGAGGCCTCCCCATAAGCGACCTGCAGCTAAGAAGCACGTTCGTGTGAGGGGTTACAGGTCTTCTGACATGGAGATGATGATCACCAGTTCCGAAGAGGACGAGGGGGATCTTCAGTGAGTGGGGTTACTCAGCGATGGCCGACAGAGTACTGCTATCTAGGTTTCGAAATGAGCTCGGGAAGGTAGGCTTGAAGGGACAATCATGTGGAAGATTGGGCCATGGTTAAAAGACTCGGCTTGAGAAAGTTCTGCATCCGATATGAAGAACTAAAAAGACAGCGCACGCCGCGTTGTTGATCTCAAAGCCCTGTGAGCTCTGATGACCTGTGAGGTAGCCACGATGCGGCGCGGCAGTAGTGAGTGCGTCGTGAGTTTGTGCGTTATGAGACTTACAGTACAGGAACTAAAAGTGAAACACTCGCTCAACGCTGCCCCGATGTGGATTTATAGCGGCTATGGTACACTTGAAATAACTTTCGAAGACTGTGTTCCCGGTGTTTCTGGAAGACCGTTCGTTGCTGCTTGTGTCTGACCACTTTTCTCTTATCAAGAATAGTACTTCGCAAATGCGTGTTTTAGTGAAGGACTGGATACTCAAACACGGTACTTGAAACTCTACGTGTATTTGTAATTGTACAAGTGCTCTACTTCCTGCTTCTTTTTAAAATTTTATTATCGACGTAAAATGGCAATAACAGTGTTCACTAAATGTCTAAAAAGTATTAGGAGTGACTGTTTGGAACATAAAGTGAATCTAGGCTCTTGCGTTGTTATAAACAACCTTGTGTTGACATTATGCCTATGCGTACGTGACAAAAACTTGGAAAGGCCACAATATGACATAAGAAGATTTCCAACGTAAGCGAAACAATTCTGACTCTAATGTTGTTATTGATATTCCTCAAAGTCACGTGAAAGTTTATTCCAATATGTCCATCTGTCAATCACCATTCTTAATCTCCAGACAGGTTTTTTTAGGCGGAAAATAAAAATACGCTAGAGGCAACGTATTAAACATATTTTGTGTTTTCGTAAAGCAACCTATAGACACCCGTCGTCCAACCTTATTTGCTAAAAACAAATACTACAATACCAGATCGTTGCAAGGACATTTTTAGAGATTTCCTGATTAAGTCCGTTGAGTAGTTGACAAATGAAGTTCAATGACCAAGCGTATGAATACACCTCGGACCTACAGCCGGTGAAGCAAAGTTCGCAACAGACTCAAAGATTGTGAGCTTGGTAGAAACTACCGTGTGCCACGTATCGATGTGTGTGGATATTGTGCACTGACATGCATTCGTTTCCTCACTACATCATGATGCAAGTTAACCGACTCCCCCCCCCCCCCCCCTCCCTCCCTCCCTTCCTTCATACACAAAACAAAAAATACACAGTTATCTGTCGTGCTTTACTAGCCATATTTCGCTTATTCCGCATAAATGTAAAATGTCATTTGAACAGAGGCTCATTTTTTGCTGAAAAAGCTGTACTCCATGGCGCAAATGTGCTGAGAAAAATCGGCGCATTTTTCCCGGAACCTTTTGCTGTGCGCGAGGCATCGGCACAGTGGCTGTTACGTCGCGTGCAAAGCGAGCGTGCCGTCGGGCAAAGTACGTCAGTTATTCGTCGCATAATTCGCTCGAGGAAGGTAATCCTTAAAGGTGCCCTGACGAGGTTTCTGAGGTCGCTTAAGTATAGCGATACGTCACTCTGCTGGCTTTAAGTATCCTAGAAATTCCTAAATCATGACGATATGCGGGCGATTTCCTATTAAAAGAGCATTCAAAGATCGCAACCGACCGAGGTCATCTCTGGCAATAGGAGGAACGTGTTCCGAAACCAGGAACGTTGTCAGCATATTGCAAGCGAAGGACCATCGCGTCTCCGACCGGTGGATTTGTGGAGTGATATCTGGGATCCACGCGGCTCGTTGCTTATACGGACCGGACTGCGATTAAACCAAGCGAGAGAGCGCTGCAGAGCTGACAACCAAACACATCACTCTCGCAAAAAAAAAAAAAAATAGTGCGTTAGACGGTTAGTGCAGTATTATGTTCCCTCGCCGCAAAAAAACAAAACAAAAGTCGACTACTTTTATTAGCTTTTGTCATCTACAAAAGCATACACATTTTGTAGCAGTAGCGTTTGCAAGCTCAGCGATATGCCGCGTTTTCCCTGGTTACATGTCGTCCTGGCTGCAGGAACAACGATCGTCCCATCAGCGGAGATGACCTTGGTGTGTTCGATTTTTTATTGCTTTTTTTAATAGGCAAATCGGCCGTGCAACGTCATAGTTTATGAATTTATAGGATGCTTAAAGTCCGCGGAGTAAGGTATATCGCCATATTTCGTCGATCTTAGAAACCTTCCCCGGGCACCTTTAAGAACAGTTATAAAACACATTTGCAATTTTTTCTTCAATCGCCAAAATAGCGCGCGATACCCGCAGTCTGACTAACCGTGAGAGTGATTTAAATATTGGTTCATGATGCCATGTTTAAACTCCGAAGACCCTCTAAATTGCCTTTGCGAGACTACTGTACCAGCGGTACTCAAAATTAACCGAAGCAATACCCTCCTTTAGTTGGCTAAAAATGACGAAATAATTAACTTTGCATCTGCGAATCCCATATAAGAAAGTTTAGAACCAGGGGCGGTGTTAAGGGGGGGGGGGGGGGGGGGGGGGTCGTTTTCTGAAGCATTTGAAGGTCAACGTTGTTTATGAAAAAATTGATAAATATTAGTTACAAGGTCAGTTGTCGGTGACATAGCAAATATTGGGTACACAAAATAGATATTGGCAACGTTTAGGCCGTAACGTCATATCTCAACAAACTTGCCCCCCCCCCCCCCCCCCCCTTCTTTGCCAGCCGAATGCCTACTGCCCCTTCACAAGCGTGACCCATAAATCCGCTCCTGGTTACAGCCCTCTACAATTCCCTCACGAACTTCAATACGATCAGATTTCAGCGACACTGCTGCCACCTGGCTGATTTTGAGGAAACTACTCAAGGGGTCGTAGAAAACGGCGTCTTATGGGAATCTTGTTCGTCTTATTTGTACCGGGTCGACACGTTTATTTTGCGGATATATATAGGTGTAGCCAGTCTAAATGCTCAAACGGCATCTCTTCTTGCACGATAGGCTTGCACTTATTCCTGAAATATATGTAAAACGTTGCGCGGGAAAAGAAGGGACTTGCGCCGAATGCGTGAAAATATTCGGGACGGTGCGTTCCCTTCGTGGAAAACGGCTTTTCCTGCGTGAAACATTCTCCCGTCCTTTTTAAAATTAGCGTTATCAGGTCAAGTTCACAATTTCTTCCATAATTATTTTATGTATATTTTTTTAACACTTATAAGTCTGAAAAACGAAAGGAGCGCGAATGGATATGGATGAATGGATGGGTGGATATGGCTAAGCACTTTAAATGGGGCGACAGCTTGCGCCACCGAGCCAGCGCGGGGGTTGAACGACCGTCGTTTTGACCCCTACACGCCCTGGCTAACCTTTCCTGGTTACAGTCCCCCCCCCCCCCCTTTCTCTCTTTATGTTGCTGGAAAATGCGAACTTGGCGTCGCGTGCAGAATGTTATTTCACTAAGTAAAACGCGGCAATAGGTTTTTTTTATATTGTTATTATTTATTATACAAAGAGTCTCAGGGGCCTTACGCGGCGTAATAAAAGCATAGAGCACCACGACTCTCAAGAGCCAAAACAAAACGTGATGCCACGCTATGAATATATCACAACCTTTAACTCATTGCATTTCGAAAACTTGCTGTCTGGAGAAGGAAGAGAACGTTACGAACATACCGGCATCAACTTGTTACTCCATCACTCGAATTATTTATTTTACGTGGAAGGACTTTAAACATGGTGCCGCCGATAACGCGTGTTAGCGAGGACCGTTGCCGAAATGTTAAAGTAGCAATAGTGTTGAAATTTATTGTATGTGAAGATTACTGAATTTCTCGTATGCGAGAGTCTGGAAAGCGTCTTAGCGAGAATAGCACCGCTGAGTCAGCGCTAGGCAACTACACAAGCGCCTTAGCGCTTGTGTAGCATTCTATGTAAGTGTCGAAAGCCTTTCAGCATGTATATCGTGTATAGTCGTGTAAAAAAAGTATATCTAGTAAGGCTAGTGAAAGTTATCCTTGTGACTTTACAGAGTGAAATTCTGAGTATGTTGCTAAAGTTATGAACGTAACTTTTGTAATCAGAATTGGAGTAAAAAATGTCCCAGTCTTGTACAGGTAGCTACCTCGTGTAAGTGTAAGTTTAGAAACAAAGGAACAATATGAATATTATTGTGTCTGTTGTAACTAAGCTTAAAATACACCATTTTGAGCGTAGTGACGTTGAACAGGGAGCTACAGGCATTCTTCGTAAAATAAGTAATAAGCGGAGTGATTATTGCGAGCAGAAAGAAGAAAATGAACTGAAATTTGATGTACAGCTGAGTGACTCATGTCGTGTTCGGTATAGATGTAAATGTGCCGTGTATATAAAGGCAATAGACATACCCTCTCGATCTCACTGGTTGAGACTAGGTTAAGCACAACAAGCCCATCTCCGAAGAAATCAAATCTACTAACCAGCGGTGTCGTGTAATATGCAGTGCATTTAGAAACCGTAATAACGTGTGTATAGAAGTAAAATACGAGTGATTTTTGTTTTCTCTCGATGTTTTGATCATTGCCGCGCCTCTTTTGAGAGTAGCTGAGTGAGATTGGTGTGTTATTGGTGAAAGACAGAGAGCGTTGAGTTCTTAAAGTTTGTCGATGTCGGTGATTCTTATGTCCGAGTCCCACTAGAGCGACAAACAGAAACAAACGATAGCGACAAGCCTCAAACCAGAGTCGTTCGCGTTCTGACAGGCTTTGTAGAATAAAGGAGTCTATGCTCAAACTCGAGCATCATGCACGCGAGGGTACTTTTGGCAGTCTTGCAATCACTCGTGCTTACTTCACGAGCACCGAACGACTAAACACCTGCCAATGGTACCTTAACGAGAATGCTGCATGTGTTGGGGGCTTGTCCGTGTTGGTTTTTTTTTTTTTTTTTTTTTTGTTTGTCGTTCTAGGAGGACTCGGGAATTAGACAATCAGTCGT